ACAGGGCGAGGCCAGGGGTCCTCAGAAAACTGCTTGTCGTCACGTTCCGGAGAAACCCCCCGCTGGCGGAATTGGCGGCCATTTTGGACATCCAGTCCAGGTAAGTAAACAAGGATGAACATCTGTTCATAGCCATGACTAAATGATCTAGTTTGGGTTGTGCTGCCAGGCCGGTCCAGGCTGGGTGCTATCTGGGAAGAATACAACAACAGGCGGCAGTTTAACTGGGGATGAACATGTTTTTTTGGCAAGAGTTTTATGTACTTGCCAAGCACAAGTCTCTCCCACGGGGCAGTCATTCATAGTCGGCGTTCGTGCGCATATTGTTTTGTACGATCTCGGCAACTTCGTACAAGTGGGCCTACGATACAAAAGAATGAACGCACGGAGTATGCGCAAAATCAGCAGGAGGAGATATGTTTTTGCGATTTAGCTCGTTCTTCTCGTTGCATGGTATGCGTGGCACGAGTTATCAGACGATGAGTGCTGCGTGTTGCATGGAGCTCTGCAAAAGTAAACCTCTGCTGGGCGCGGCGGGGCTGACGTTGATGGGACCCAGTCCTATTTGCAGCTACTCTTTTAGCGGAAGCAAGAAACTAAGCGTTACCTCGTTCTCGCGCCGTATGTTCCATCGGCACACACTCCCTATACTGCAGGCATATCATGCGCGTGTTCTTCTCTTCTACATCATACCGTAAGTGTATAATCCACACCCATCTCACGTGCAGGAGGACATAGAGCGCGAAGACAAGCATCTTGACGAATGCTTCAACAGAAATCGCGATGAACATTTAGGCCTGCGGTTGACATACCATGCGGCGACGGTGCGGCGCGGTGAAACACAGAAGGGAAAGGTGGGGTTCGGTCGAACCCTGTCTGGTGTGAGGTTATCAAACCAGGTTCACTTCCATCCTGGAACAGGGTCGTCAAAAATAAGTTGCAATCTAAAAACAACACCACCCTCGTTCTTTCAATAGCTTTTTGGAGAGCACCGATCGGGGGGGCTTTTTTGCTTTTGCTTGAAAAAAGCTCTTCAGAGGGATCGTGATGTACATGTACGTACGTGCAAAAAAAACGAAATCGTGCACTGCGGGGCAATACTTGCACTGATGGTGTCCGGTGTCCGGTGTCTGTGCGCCGATAAATACACACGAGATTGGAGCCCATTTCACCATCAAGGCATCAAATTCCAATCTAAAACTTGTGCACAACAAGTAGCATTCTGCCCGACCTGTCCCAACTGCTACCTTTTCAATCCGTGGTCGGTGCGTCGAGATAGCACAGCATCTGCGCTGAAATTCCAAGCGTCCCCGCACAAATCTCAGGCAAGCGTGAGTTATTTTTATTCCGCCGGTGTGCTGCTGCTCGTGGCAAGACACACACTACACAGAGACACGGAACATGGACAAGGGTAGCGGGAGACACACACACACCACGGGGGAGCGAGGCGGGAGTGTGTGCCCAATACTAACTGCTGTTAGCGGAGGAAGCGAGAGGAGAGAAGAAGAAGCGTTCGTTGTGTTGTTGTTGTTGTGCGTTTTGCGAGCGTCAGCTTTTTAGTCATCAGCGAGAGAGAGGACAAGAGGCACGCACCAACACGCTGCTAGACACCACCATTGATGAGGCATGTATTGCCGTAAACCTCTCTATACTTGTGTGCGAGGGCCTAGGGTGCCACCTGTGCCTTCCGTGTGCTAGTCAGGTCACAAACAACACGCTTTTGGAGTTGCCTGTAGATCAAAGGTCGAACCAGAGAGAGAATCAGGGAACTTTTTTTTTGCGTTCCTATGTACATTGTAATGGTATTTGACCCCTTCCTTCAGAATCAACCATCTTTGAGCTGTGTGGAACTCTCTTGTCCGACCACAGTAACAGGTTGTTGTTGCTTTCCGTTGTGCTCTTCTTGATTAACGCTTTCCAAGCCAACTCACAATATCCCACGCACACACGATCAGGGGTCGTCTGTACGCACACACTGAACAGCAGGGCACATGTCTCGGCATAAAGCCCTGATCTAGCATGACGTCACGTCTTATCATCCGACGGCGTCAAATAACCATGATCAACCACGATTACATGTCTACCTCCAAATACCATAACAACATAGCTCATGATAACACCGCCCCCTCCCTCTAGCCCATGATGATAAATACCCCCCTCCAACTCAACACTACTGTGTGGTATAAACGAGCCAATGGTAACAACGCACGAGCCTACTGAAGGCACTTTTTCCCACAAAAAAGCTATTCCACCTCGACCCTCTTGTATGACAGATGCTGGTAAACCTGCTAAAAACAGTCCCATGGGTTGAAGAATCGACACCAGACCAGGGTTTGGGGCACTTTTTACTCTCAGGAGGACAAATCAAACGCGACGCGTGGCTTGGGTGGACTGCATCACTTGCTACTGAACGAATCTTGAGGGAATCGTCTAATCGGTAAATACCGGCCTCACCAAGCCTGGCAGCCCCACCATAACGTCGACGACGGTGTCCTTTCCCGTCAACGCCGATAAAATTAGCGCTGCCAGCGTCGAGATGATGGTCGCCCAGAGGGGAACTCGCTGTTCATTCACTTGAAGCACAATGAGTTCTCCTGGCCATCATGTGGACGCTGTCAACGTTAGCATCATCGGCGTTGGTGGGAAAGTACACCGCCGTCGACAATATTGGGGATATAGCAGAAGCTGCGCGGTAGAAGAGACGGGGTGACAATCAACGGTTGGTTGCATACGACACGAGATGCTCGAGACCACGTGAAGCACTGCGCGCTGCTCTGACCGAATGCGGAAGGCACATGCATACGACGGGGTGCTCCTGTGCAATCACTACAGCAGTAGTGGCTAGCTATCGCATCGGTCGCTCAAGATGTGCCGACAAGTGCGCCGACAGTGTAAGCTGTGAAACAAGCCGTCGACGGCTGTAGGGCGCACACGGTCCGAGCCATGAACCCCACAGAGGGATAGCGTGGCGCGGACTCTCAAAGCGCTGCAGCCCACTCGTCGCCGCGCGTGCCTGTTGTGTCTAAACAGTCATTGGTCAATGGACGTCACAGCTATCACTGTACAGAAGTATAAATTATGTGGATTGTCTACTCAGACCAAACACGGAAAAACGATCCTAGACCAGAGTCAAGAATGACGGGCGCAGGACTTTCGTCCGCCCCCACGGCCGCGTTATCGTTCGCGCGTGGTGCACGCGTGCACAGCCGAACGCTTCACTGACCTGGTGATGCCGGAAACGTCTTCACCAGCCGCCTTCGCGACCGAGGCTCCCCTCGGTGGAAAAGCCCATGGTTACCACATCCCACGCGATTATGCCCTGAAGCGTTACTGTAGGTCTAACATCGTCGTGTGAAACAGCGCCGTCGGCGTGGGGACGGCCTTTTCGAAGAGGCAGTTCATCGTTGTTGTGGTGGCTTGGTTGTTGTCTGGTCTTGTCTGTTGCTGTTGCAAGGCCATAGCTAAGAGACGAAGAGGAGGTGCGGGTTGTGAGAGTGTGTGCTGGGTGCGCGTGTGGGGTGGGCGATCGAAGGCGGCGCATCGGGTGTCGGTTCGGGCTGACTCTTGCGAGTATCGCGCAGAGCGCAGAGCGCAGAATGCTCGCAGCAGCTTGGCTTTGACTCTTTCAGCAGCATGCGCACGGACGGTACCGGCTCTTTCCACAGATTAGTCTAGAGTCCAGGACTTTTAAATTGTATTCTGGAGTCGTCTGCTGAATCGAAACGGTCAAGCAAAGGAGGCGGAGGAACTATGACAGCATTGTGTGCGACCTGACTGTCTGGGTTGAAACCGCTCGGATGCATGTACGAAATTTGGCGAGAGTGCTGCAGATTACTGGACCTCAACACTACCGTAGACAAATATTGTACTGTATGATCTCGATACGACATCGGGAGAAGAACAAGCAAGTCTATCAGATCGCGACCTGCCCTGTGGATCTCACATCTGGCAGGCATGTTATCATCATGTGTCTGGATCGCAGAGTGCTGCTGTCATGAGTTCTTCACCGCGGGGGGTGGGCCAGTCCACTTTTTATCCCATCCATCGAGACTCTGGGCGCGAGAGAGAGCACACCCACCCTCACAGAGCAAGGCACACACCAAATGTACATCTCACCATGTCCACTGCCGGAGGCGCCTTAGGGGAACTTCCACCCCCACCCATCCAACAGGGTGGGCTGACAGACGGGAGTGACGGGGATGAGGTCATCACGGTGGAGGAGAGCGCTGTTGGCCTGCAGGCTCTTCCAGTGACACCGGTAGGCGGGGGCGGCGGCGGCGGCAATGCCTCGGCTGCTATCGATGCCTCAGCCACGACGACAGCGCCAGATGGGACGATACGGACACGCCTGGGGCCCCGACAACACCAGCAGCAGGCCAGCCCTTCTGGTGGTGCGCTCTGCTGCGGTGGTGGATCCAGTGCCGATGGCAGCTGCTGCGGCCCTGTAGGTATGTCCAACGGCTTGTGGTTATATCTGCCACCCTGGGCAGTAGTTGTGTCCTCTCTGCGCCCCAGCACCTGCTGGGGGAGGAGTGTTCTCTTTGCGCTCTGCTATGATCCAAGAGTAGTGTTGTAGTGTGAAGCCGCGTGCCTAGAATTTGGGACTTCTCCCGTCCGTCGGTCTGTTCTCTCTTCTCTGGCGCTGGTCAGCATGAGGTATAGGTGCGCATACCGTTGAACATGCGAATACCCCCGCTGCATACGCTACAGCAGTAGTCTCTACAGCAGTACACAGCGCTCGCTTGTCAAAAATGAATACCCACCGATCGTATGCGAGCTACCTGTCGTTTCTTGTGTACTGGGGTGTCGGGATTATTTCAATATTATAGTCTATGTTTCCGACGCAGAGAGGATGTGATCATTTCCTGTCAACATGTAGATTGTGGTATCATGGAATCTTTCGTCTGTCAGCGGCATAGATGTGTGTGTCGTTCCTTTTACTTCGAAGGATGTGACATCGACCGCTTAGACTACTGTCATGTGTTTGTGTGTATGTTAACCCTCTTACTGCTGTGCCCAGTTAGTTTCAGATTATGGGTCCAGCAATAATCGCGTCCGCTCATTGCGAGAGGCTGTACAGTCCCGAGGGCCGAAGGCTGACTTGGCTTCAGAATGGAAAGTGCCCTCAAATGCACTGGGGACACTTTTAACTGAAGCCAAGTCGGCAATTTTTCGAGTACTATAATAGGCGACGTATGTACATTGTTCCCAACAAGGGGACCCGCGGCTTCGAAAATTGTGTACAGCAAGTCAGAGGCCCAGGAGAGGCACACAGGCATCACACAGCAGTATATCACACGGCGTACCACCTCAAACAAGCTGCTAGATGCTAGGCCAAGGTTTCCCACGCACGTTTCGCGCAGCAGAGCATAGTGACGACCACGGCGCAGTGACGAAGGCGTTTGGGTGCTGTGTCCCCAAAGTGTCCCCATTTGAGCTTCCAGTATTAGGAGGGTGAGGGCGCCGGGGGGAAACGCCTGCATATCTCAGTTTTCCAAAGTCTAACTCCAGTACGAAACTACCATCGCAATTTCACCGTCCGCAGCGGTCGCTTGTGTACAACGTTGTTGGTGTCTGAGATTGGTAGCCCTTGCGATGCGATACTTTACAGTCTAGCGGTCCGCGATATTCCAAACGATCCTTCTATCATCGAGATCGGTGAGCTACAACAAGGATTTTCGAAGCTGTTGTGCGGTCCGATTTTGAAACACTTCAAGCACCTTTGCTTATGGCTAGACCTACTGTACATCTACATGACCCCAGGCGTTCAAATCGACTATGTTGACTAGGACATTTGAGGGAAGAGCTGTGCTGAAGTTCGCGGCCCCGCACTCTCACATAGGCGCTGAGTCGTCGTTACTGCTGTGTGCTTGAAGCAGCTTCAAAATCGGACCGCACAGCAGCTTCAAAATTCCTGCTTGTAGCTCACCGATCTCGATTATAGAAGGATCGTTTGGAAAATCGCATACCGCTAATCTGTTGTGTATTGAAAGGACTACAATCTCAGATACTAGCATTGTAGACAAGCGACCGCTGCGGACGGTTAATTTGCGATTGAAGTTTCGTACTGGAGTTAGACTTTGGAAAACTTAGATATGAGGCGTTTCCTGGATTTTGGAGAGGAAATACTGCGTCCCTCCCCTCAACCTTAGTTTTTTTTTGTTTTTTTATTAAATCCATTTCCAGGGACGCAATACGCATGCAATCCCCGGACTACGCAGGTTGCCTGCACACCCCTCGGCCAACTTCAAAGCTGGATTACTCCACGACGAAGAGGATGCCAGAATCAAATGATACTTTGTCCCAAAGCTCTCGACTAGGCGGTTCCAACGCCGGCATTTTCGGCACCTTCACTGTTTTTTTATTCGCGCTGCAGAGTACCTACCTGCAGTAGTCTTTGACCTTCGGCCCAACGGTGCGCGATGCACTGTGTAACCTACGTTACCAGTTAGAGAACATGTGTTTGAGTCTATTCAGCGATTTTCTTGTCGCGCTAATTTAAGAAAAAAAACGCCTGCATTTTTTCATTGGTCGGCCGGCCAGCAGCGCGGCGTGGTCGATTCCTTTGATATTAACGAACGCACTATCCCCGCCTACGCACCACCCATGGTACGCGGACGTTGGTAGTTCCCTCGAGGGCCCTCTCTTTGACGCTGGTTCGATTCCCGGTCCCCCCCCCCGCCCCCCCGCCGCTCTCGGGTTTCCAGAGGGCATTGCCGTCGGTCGAAAGTTTCCCTTCCTGGGAGACGTCGAATCGACATGGGCGAACGTGGAGGAGACGATCCGGAACGAAGTCGGGGGCGCTTACCCGCTCCGACGTAACAACCGCCAGAAGGTGATCGAGCACACTTTTCGCCGATCGGTTTCGGCTCTGGGCGGGACCCCGGGAGCATTCCGTCGGTTTTTGACGGGTCGGGTGGTGGATTTTCTATTTGCCCTCCTGTCGGGGAAGATGGCGTCATGTTGGACCTTTACGCCAGGTGTGCATACTTTGGCCAGGCTTGACACGGTGGGATGCGATGTAGGTGCACCACACCCGTTGCCGAGTCTGTGCCAGAGAGGCATCCACGCTGCGGCTGCTGCTGCTGCTGCCGCTACCATTCTGTGCGTGTGTTTTGTTAGATAACATCGACGGCGCTTACTGGCCAACCAATTCGTCAGTCTCAGTGCGTGCGCGTGCTCCCCCCCCCCGGGTGCTATTCTTTTTGCGCTGCTTTGTGACAGCTTTTTAGGTGCAAAGATGAGCACGAGAAAAGCTTGCCCAACCGATGGAGCACGGTGCGGATAGAGTGCGCCCAGGCGGGGACACCGGCCAGAAGCCCCCTCTCGGACGACTGCAAGAGACGCAGGAACACGTCCTCCAAGAAGGTGTCTCTAGCAGTGAAGAACAACACTGATGTCAGTTCGTGCAAGAGTGCGTGTGTGTCAGTTTGTATTATTATCATTTGCCGCGCTAACCGGCTGACCAACGGAATAACGTCGGTTCCAGTGCGGCTGACCAAAAGAAAATTATTTCTAAATGCCATGATCTGGGACCCCCGTGAGGGCGCGTTATGGGGGAGGCTAAGCTCCTCTCCTGTGTGTATGTATTTGATCGTTCCATCTGTTCTGGCGCCAGTCTGCAAACCTCTCGGTGTATGTATCCATGTGTTTGGCGTATCAGCGGAGGTTACTCAGGAGGAATCCCACACAGGAGGTTGACGTGCACCAGCAGTAAGCAAGGAGACTCGCCGTCCGTACCACCAGCAGTAGAATCCGTAGCGTGTCCCGACGCGTTATCATGCAGTTGGCGCTTCAAGTATACTCCAGTTTGTGACACCATATTGCTGCCTCCCATTCGTCTGCAGAAGACGCTGGCGCACGTCTTCGAAAAATGTATCGTACAAGCCACAAAAAGTATTCGAGTATCAGCCTGTTCATAAGACCGCAAAATCGATCGTATTGACGACTTTCGGGATGTTTAGCACCGACGAAGATTCAATTTTGTAATGGAATAGTTTTCCACATATGGGGGAACTTCACGGGTTTCCAGCGCAAGATTGAACAGCAAGCGGTTGGTTGCTGGACTAGCACAAACGACCACCGCCATGTTTACCGGTCAGCATTTAGCTTTGCGGCTGGCTAAAACACCCCCCCGTCGGGGGTGTCACATGCAACCCCAGCTCCTACCGCTGATTTCCCGCTCCTCCCCTCCATCCTTGCTGCTTCCGCCATTCTACGCACCCCCCTCCGTTGGTTCCTCCCTCCTTTCAACTCGTGCCCAGATCAACTGCAACTGGAAAGTGCTTTGCCAGTGGCCACAGAGGACGGTCGGGCCTTACATCACACAGGTTTGTGTGCCCATTAGAAGAGGTGTATTCATTGAACAAGAAGGCTGCCCGCAGTTTTGGGGGTGTCAGCCGTTGACTTTTGCTTTCCGTACTCACAATAGTGGCGTGCAACTGGCATGTGCCGCGACCCAGCAGAACCTCGCCGAAGGGTAAAAAAGGATAGACACGTAACACGGGAGCGTTAGCGCTGTTGGTGTTTTTTTTTTTTTTCTGGTGGCAACGCGGTCAAGCCCGGGTATTGTAGTACTTTTCGGAGCTCTTGGGGGCAGGGTTCGCTTCGTGATGCTTTGTTGTGTTTTTTTTTGTGCAAACGTGCATACAGCCGGGTGTACACAACCGCTAACGAGGACTATCGCGCTCGTGTGATGCATGATCGGCGGCCACCACCAGGTTCACCTCACGCACGACACGACCCCGGAGGGGGGCATGTCTGACGGGAAGGAGCACCCCCCTCCCCGGGTTTTCGGCGATGAGCTCAGCAAGGAAGAAATCCAGCAACAAGAGCTGAAGATCAAGGAGCTGGTAGAGGCCGGGTTCGGCACGACGGACTTACAGAAGTACCTCCAGCGCGACGGGAAGAGGCTGGGAGAGCAGGGAAAACAAAAGGTACCTTTTTTCGCACTCGACTTCGTTAAGGCATGAGGCAAGAAAGATGGACAGGTGTTGTTGTTGTTGTGTTCTTTGCCATTAAAACCGTTCCGGTCTCTGCGCAGTTTACCTCCAATCACCGTAAGAGTATCTCCGTTGTTGCTTTTGTTCGCCATATTACCGTCGGTTAACAAGTCCAAGACCGTTTGGGGATTTGGACCTTTGAGAAATGCTTGCTTCAGGTTGAGAAACCGCGTGTCGTCATGCAAGGCTTTTCCAGCACATTGGGAGCATTGATGAGAGGGCAGGGCACAGGGAAGGTGTGAAAATGGTCCTCCGCTGTTCGGTCCTCTGCCTATCTTTGTTGGGGTTTCCCGCAAGGCGTTGGTGGCGTTTATGAATTTTGCAAGCACGAGACTAAGTGATTTTTCTACTGGAGATATAATAAGTAGTAGAAACAAGACAGGGGGTTCATGGTGCTTCAGCCGACACTCAGATTGTTGAAAGCAAGCACACCAGGCATTTGTTGTCAGTTTCAGATTTGACGGGGTTTGGGCAGCACGAGTCTCTTTCGAGTCTCTTCTACGCTGCCTGGGTAGTGATTTTTGTCGAACAACAATTTGGCCCGGAAGAAACCCGGAAGATCAAGACTACGCTCTCAAGAGCAATAAAAAACGCACATCCCAATCGTGTGCCTTTTTTCGCCTGTTTTCTTTGTTGCCCCCCCCCCCCCCCCTCGTTCTTGGGACCCCCACGACACCTGAACCAATAAAAGGTGCGAAACTTGCGGCGCAAGTACCAGGAGGCCAAGCCTCTTGCGAACGCTGGCTTGTCATCTCAGACACCTTCAGTCGTAGCACCGCCAGAGACGCCACGACATATACAACCGTTACCGCCGCCGCCGCCACCACCACCACCGCTACCACCGCGGGAGAGCAGCGCGGAGCCTTTCGGGCTAGGGGCGTCACCCTCGCTGCCCCTGGCGGTCTCCTCCCCGAGTGCTTTCGTTCGCGATAGCCCGCATGGAGTCCGCTTAAGCTCAACAGGTGTGTGCGTGTGTGTTCATTGTTCTCATCGATCGCGATAACCGGCTGACCAATGAGACGACGTCGGTCTTAGTGCGACTTAAACAGGGAACGCTTCTGGAGGCCATGATCCGGGGCCCAGTAAGGGGGGGTCGCGGGGGCGGCTAGGGTTGTGCCCGTACAGTAATGCCGGAACGGTTTCTGTGTGTCCAATGCTTGTGTTGTGATTGTGGAATTCGTATTGGACAGGCAGCTGACGCTTCACGTAGAATAGCTCCGTTCTGTGGGCAAGCACTATAAGTCGCCCACGGGCGACTTCTAATATCTTGCCGTTCGCAGATGCCTGTAGTTGTGGGCACGGGAGCTACAATAGCTCACCTGTGTGGATCATTTTTCAATTTATCCCACTACTGTCGCTGTACATGCCTCCTGTGCGAAGGGCGGGCTTGCTTGAGAGGTGCTTGTCAGAGCCCCTCGCCTCCCCTGCCTGTTGGGTGTTTTTGGTAGGAAATATAGCGGTGGTTCACAGCAGCAACCCCGCGTTTCCGGTGTACATTTCTTGTGGAAGTACGTGCGTACGGTACCGTTCTTGTAATCGCCGTCTGACCCCCTACTGTACCCCCGCAACCTACAGCACCCTCACCACCACCACCGCCACCGCCACCACAAATAAAAGCACCCGGCGCGGGAGCTCGCTCGAACGGGGAAGCTTCCAACCCCAGCCTGGAGACGAGCAGGCACGCCGATTGCATGGCCTTCGCCAAGGAGCTCGCCTCGGCGTGTTCGGAGATAAAGAGCCGCGATGCCATGTACCGTGTCATCGCGCACGCGAGAGTGGCCGCGCTGAACGCCATCCAGGTGGAGCTACAGTGCCAGGGCCGCCGCGCCACCGGGACCAGCTGGGCATGAGGAGCGGCCGACGCCTCGCCGCCGTCGCGCATGAAAGATTATAGTATTGCATGTGTCTGTTGTATGTTCTGATCCCTTTTTTTTTTTATGGTCAAAGCCACCTTTCCCAAGAAATTTTGTAAAGGCTCTATTTCTGTATATGTTCTGGTATTGACTATGTTTTTTTTCTATCGAAGTACTCTAGTCCAGCAGTCACCTGACTTGGTGTTGGAGCGGGGGCAAGGGAGAACATGGCTCGTCACAGCGTTGTTGCAGCCGAAGGAAACGCAGAAGCGTTTGCGATGGCCGAGGGATCTCGTGCCTGCTACCTTGTGTGCTCGGGGTAGCAGTAGAAGCGGAGAGGTGCACTCATCGGCCATGACGCGGTCTGGGCGGTGTACCCTTGTGCTGCGTCGGCGTGTACGCCCGTACCACGTGTGGGCCTTCTCCCGCTATCGTCATGAGGCATGGCAAAGTGTCGGAGCATGATATGCCACCCAAGCCCCTCCCCCCCCGAGGAGGCGTGTGGCGCAACGTGCCAAGGGCACACCGTAGGACCATCGGTCTTGCCAACGTTGGAAACGTGGCAAAGCATCAGGCGACTGATAATTTAACAATATTGTAAGGAGTAAGAACAGACATTGTGGTTGACGATTTTTAGGAACTTTGAGGGGTGCACGTGTTTTTCAGTCCGGGGCGTTTCTAGAAGGGTGGCGTTGGCTTCCAGTACACCACACGCAGAGAAGAGAACGAACGTTGCATCAGCCGGTCGTTTTTCTTGTCTTCAAAACTGGGCACACCTGGGCCCATCCAGTACGAGCTTGAGGCGCGTCGAGAGCAGGGTGGCTGGGGGTACGCGGGCGTTGGGTCGGAGCGCCGTCTTTCTCCCGTAGGTAAGTCATCCATCGGTGTAGGCATGTCGATTCGTCAGATACCGCTCTCGTCGTGATACTAATAGTGCCACGTGCGATGCAGGGTGCTTTCCCACCTCTAGTCTACGCACTTTTTATCGATGGTTATGCACACGTGTATGTGCTTTGTAACCAAAGCTTGGTTCGTAGCGATAGAACGCAGACGTCGACTGTGTGCGTTCGCATGGCAAGGTGTACACAACGACGACGTGCACCACATGACGTTGATATGTTTTTATTTGATTTGTGAAACGAAGTCACTACTGTACACCTGTGCTGTAGAACCGCTGCTTGGATGTCTGCGGCTGCTGTGATTTCTAGGTGGCTTTGTCGTGCACTGCTGTGTGGCGTCCAACGTGTCTTGGGGCCTATGTACAATTTACGCTGCCGAAAGCTTTGCGTGTTTTAATTGGGCCGTGTTTTGGATTACCGTAAGATCAATACGATAAGTTCAGAGGGTCACAGACCACGGGGGGTCTCATCGGGCTGGGTGGGTGCAGTTCGAAGAGAAAGGAGGATGCCTGACTCGAGAGTCCGAGAATATTCTCACTCACCATTTTCCGTCTGGTCAGGACACTCTTTCCGAAAATCAGAGTCAATTCCAGACAAAAGTAGCGACGATGGGGAATGTCCAGGTCTTTTCGAGACACCGTAGGGTGAAGTGGGCGTCGATCAATAAGCTAGTCTCATTCCATGCTGAGTAGAAGATTGTACTTGGATGAGTCGCTTTTTAAGTTGGGGATGTCCTGTTGTGTTGTTTATCGTTTTTTGTTTTGTTGTACCGCCGTAAAAGTGCGATCTCAGGACCCTTCAAAAGGTGACACCCGTTTCATTTTCGTGTTTTTTCTGTGGTGAGATAATTGTTTTTTTTAGAACATGGGGACGCCGGCTGCGACAGCACATGCAAATCCAACGAGCGCTGTCGAGTGCCCTGCTCGGCAGGCAGCGACTGGCTACTTGAGATTTAAGGGGTTTAGCCCCACTCAGACTGGAATGCCACATGTCATGTTCCAATCCGATTAGGATTGGTTTCAGGTACATACGGAAGAAGTACTACCGACATGATTTCGTGGCACCGGTTTTTTGAAAGGAGATTTTTGACCGCGGCCGATTTCTCTCGGCTAGCGAAAGCTACGACCACGAGATCGCGGCGGTGCCTTCGCGCGACCTACGCCTCGAGGGCCTTGACTACCTGCCCCACCCTTGTCCTCGGAGAGCTTCGAATCTGTGGGGGGGTTGTTCTGCACTTGCATAGTCGCGCGTGCTGCTGTTCATCCTGGTGTCAAGGTGTTGACTACGGCTCGTGCGCCTCCCTATTGTCTCAATGGGGATCCTTGATCCTCGTCTGCTATTGGTCTGGTAATTCTGCTGCGCGGCAGCGGCAAGCATTGCAGTAACATGCGTTCGTGTCTGGCTCCACATGCAACAACAAAAAAGTCTCTCGATGCGTTTATCAGGATCTAGGCTAGTCAGACAGAAAAACATCTGATGTGTGAGCAAAGAATAACTTGCGGCGCAGATCCCTCGCACAAAGAGTGTGTTCGAAGATCTGCTGCAGCTCAGAAACGTGATTTTTCGCCTCGCGAGGTCACGAAACCCAATCTCGAGGTTTTCTGAGGATCTTGACCAGCCTGTCCTCCTCCGACCCCTCCTCCGGGACGTGGTTGTATGTCCATGAGACCAAGGGCGGGGCGGACACCATGATGGACTCGACGCGCCCTCCGGAGAGCCCGAACTTAACACCTGATGGCGAATTGATCGATCGAACGCGAAGCAGACATACCATGAACAGAGCACAGGGCGAAAAGGAAGGTCGTTGGCGAAGGGGAGTCGACTACAGCGTGGTTGCGTGTTGCGTGCTACAGTAGTACACCAAACTGTCAAACGAAAATCTGCTACACGACGGCGTTCGCTGTGTTAAGCCCTTGACAGCACGGCACCATGATGGACTAACTGACAGTTTTCATGCCTTCACCGGCTGGTCGATAGACCCATCCACCAAACACAGAGCGGACTAAAAACAAGACTACATTGTAGCTCCGCTTGCGGCCGTCGCGCGTACGCCCAAGAGGGGGAAACAACCCCACCGCTGCGGGACCGACCTCTATCGTAGAGCAGGTTGAACTCGAGGTAGCGTCCGCGTCTCATCAGCTGCCACTGCCTCTGCTTGTCGCTGAAGGGCTCGCGGCCTCGGCGCTCGGCAATGGGGAGAAAGCTCGGCATGAAACCGAGCGCGACTTCTCGAACAAAAGCCTCCACGTCCTGAGTACCGGATTTGATGGGAGGCGGGCGTGGAGGGGGCGATATGTATACGGATAAGCCGGTGGGCCTTGTGTTATGTTGTCTACACGACTCACCACTCTCTCTGAAACGGGGCAGATATATAGAAGAAAAAGAAACCGCACAACGCAAGCCCTGCGCGGGCGGGGGGTTGTTCCTTAGGGGGTTCTGCGAGCCAGGCTAAACGTCAGCGGCACGCTGTGCGCGGCGGCGGGGTGGGGCTTTAATCGAAGGTACACCATGCACATCTCTGAAAATCGTCTAGCCCGTCCACGTAACGTGTCTGGCACCGGGGCCAAATAGGGGGAGACCTTCGACATAACTGTTTCCGCTGTGAGTCGACGAACATGTTCGAAACAAGCACCCGTAGTGAATGAGACGGGCGTTATCAAAAAGAGGCAGGTGCCCAATCATGGCAAAAAAAACGAAAAATGCCGGAAACAGCAGAAACACGATGAGCGTTCGTGCAAAGAAGACGAAGAGCACAAGCAAGGTGCCCGAAAGAAGGAATGCAAGAAACAGAGCTAGGGCAGATGAAATCAAACCTGCCACCTCGCCGATACGATAACCAAGCCCAGAACCTAGTTTCGTTTGCACCCCGACGAGACCTCCACCTGTCAACACATGATCCCAACCGCGCGGCCCCCACGCGCCAAGCCGTTCGCGCAGTTACGCAAGTAATAATCTTTCTCCGAATACCCATAGGCAGCGATAAATACCTTCTCCTCTCCGGCATCTTCCCCCTTTACGGCGTCGCCGATGCGCTCGAGGTCATCGAAGAAGATGCCCCCAACTCCCCTGTGCTCCTTTCTGCATGTCGTCGAGAGACAGAAGCAGAGGTTTCGCCATAAGAATAAACTGTAACCGATCCGTCGCTAACGAACCGTCATCAGAGACGAACATCAGCATCAGGCAAGAGCAATTATTAACGTGCCCCCCCCCCCCCGAGGCACCCACTACGCAGTACGCACCACCTTAGGTTTAAATCCTCGCGGAGTGCCCATCAAAGCCGTTTTGGATGTCATCAGAGGGGGCCATTCTCGATTAAGCTAACAGTGCTGTCGTGATGCTGAACAGCAGTGTTTTCGTCCCCAACCCTTGCTATCTTTGTCAATGAGTGAGTCGACGAGTTCTCACGAAAGCCAGCGTCCGCCGGCCAGAACAAAATAGTCATCGACACAGCAAGGCCACCAACCACCGGAGTGAGAACAATTAGGCCATGAAGGCATACAGCCACGGGCGCACATCAAGAGAAAATCCTCGGTCTCTCTCGCTCGGTGTGGGTGTTAGTCTATCTGCCTCTCTCTGCCTCTCTCTCTCTCCGACGGAAGATCGTTCTTTTAGCGCTGAGACAGAGGCTGACAGAAGAGAGAATGAGAGAGAGAGGGAGAGGGAAAGAAAGAGCGACGAACCCTCAGCCCCGCAAACAACAGAGGCCATGTTCTCGGCATGACCCCCAACCGTGTACACACACAATCCGCACACCCCATACACCCGAATGGAAATAGAAACAACGACCAGAACGGCATATACAGCCATAATCTCATCTTCGAAACCAACACCACACAGGGAGGCACCCTATGGGGGGCACCGCAAGAGCACCGAAGTCATGTATAAAAGAATGGAATTTCGACAACCACAGCTGCGAGGACAGTGATACGACGTCGGTGGGCCCAGCTCCTAGGCTATGCATGTATGCGGATCATCTTGCAAAGATCATTATAAAATCGAGCGTGCCTACCTCATGGGGATGTAGAAGTAGTCGTCGGCCCACTTCTTGAACCGAGGGTAGGCCTGCGTTACCGCAACGGAGAAGGTTGTGAGGTTAGACAGAACAAAAATACCAGCGGTGAGTGACATGAGGTGGTGGTGGTTTTACGACAAGGTTGCGATTAGTACCAAAAGAAAGAGAACAATGACACCAGCGGGAACATCGAAACAACACCATCACCAATCCACCATCACCACCAAACGCATGGACAAAGATGACAACATGGGGTGCGACAACGACTCCACCACGCCACCACCACCACCGGCAACAACAGCAACACCACCCACAATAAACAAGCCGCAAACAGCAAACAAAGCTCGCACATACCACACGCTAGATCACCTCCACGTCGAAGCGGTCGCAGATGTCCTTGTAGAAGCGGTGAAATCCCTCCACGTCTCCATCGTCCAGGTAGTAGGGCGTCAGGTCCGCACCTCCTCCAAACCACCCTTCTCCGGCCACCTGAAATGAGGTAGGCACCCAGACCCCAAAGGAACGATGGCTGTGTGTCCATTCTGTGAAATCGCGGGGGGGGGGGTGTCATGGATGGGGGTTCACACCACGGGAAGCACGGCTCTTCATATTTCTACGTTCCCGACGCTCCTTTGGGCCAATGTTGCAATGCCCACTTCTTCTCCCTGAGGTGCCTTTTATGGTGGTCGCGGTGTGTTTGTGTACTCATAGCCGTGCATGCCGCAGTCGTTGGGTCATTGACCTTGCATCCCCACATAGCTGGGACAGAGCAACCGTTTTCGTGGGTGAGGCTCTTCTTCCGTTTTTCTCAAAAGAGAGGGCCTCGTGCCTGTTCGCCACCGATCGAACCACGTGGCAACGACAGCAGCAACACCAACAAAAACGTATGCGACGGAAGGCTATATTGGTCTTTTCACGCATTGTTGTCCTGGGTTTCTTACGACATGTCTAGATACGCGATGAGCCGCCTCTTGAGGCAGCGAGCGACAAAATTGGATGAAACAAGCACCACCTGCGCTAAAGCGACGGAGGTGACTCGCCTTACCCGCCTCACCTCCAAATATCGGACATCCGCCCGGAACGTGGGCACGAACGGACTGGCCGTGTGAAATACCAGCGACATGGCCGCCGCAGAGTAAGCTTGCCCCCCCGCTGGGTCGATGTTGGACCGCCCGCGCGAGCTCATGGCCTGTGTCGCGCGTCGTACACACCAGTTCGGATACATATTCGATCCGATCGATTAAACCGCGCACGGTTCGGGTAGAGCGTGCGAGGCCAGCGGAGTACAGAGGGGGGGAATAGTGTGCTCAAAACGTGTTGCTATGAGCGGGTTGTCTGGGGGGTGCTGATGCCCGGCGGCTGTTACGTCAAGCCGATATCGTCGGACGCAATCTCTTCCCGCATTCGCAGCAGAGGTTTGGACGCAGCAAGCACCGCTTTTCGGCTGTCAATTCCAAACGGGCGAGGCGACCACATACCGCGAGCCATTGTCGCAAAATTGAATCACATCAGAGGCAGCGGCGTTGGCAGCGGGGGGTCAAGCTCTCGAGGTGCTGCCAACAAAAACGAGGTCGCGAATGAGCGAATCACCTGCGCCCTCTCCGGTGTAAGCACCCCATGGATGACCGACACACTGCAGGCGGCCTTCTCCAACAGCTCCCCGCCCTCCAGCACACGGGTGATGCCGAAGCCCTGCATGCAGACGACAAAACAAGCTCATCAGGACACGCGGTGGCAACAGACGCGAGGCGCTCTCCGCAGACAAATTGTGAGATATTGGATCTTTTAAGCGTGCTGCCAGAGTTCACCCCACTGAACGCTCTTAGCCCGCCTTACAGATAGCTTTTTGATGGTGACGTTAAAACAGGGCATGATCTTTAGGCAAGTCCGTTAGTGTGCGTGTGCACAGCTGTACCGTATGTTGTGTAATATACCACACCCCCTTGACCGACTTCAAAGCTCGATCACTCTGCAACAAAAGCAGTGACGGTGCCGACAATGGCGGCGTTGGAACCGTCTCGCCCAGATCTTCAGGAAAATTATAGATTGATTGCGACATCCTCTTCGTCGTATACTATCGACGTTTAGAAGGTCGGTCCAGGAAGTGGTACCTGATCCAACCTGGATGTATGTTCGTCCTTACAGGAGAACGAGAACATTTGGGAGGCATCACATCGGGGCCACGATAACGCAAACGAGCACGTTGCCGTCTGCGTATCCGGCACGGTAGTAGTTTCGGCTCCATGTGTGCACACACGTAATCTTTTACCGCCGTAACCAAGATATGCAACAACAGTATTGTACTCTGTAGGAGCCATACCTTCGAAGCTCCTTCTCTCTCCCATCGGTCGATGCAGAAGGTCGCTTTTCCATCCGAGGTTTCGGCCTGCGAGCATATATCAGACTGCGTCTTCACTAGAAACTCAGCAAAGTTCTCGAACCGTTCGCTGCTGCTACGATTGTCGCCACCATGGTCGTTCTCCGTACTTGGTGTTGCCGTCGGGGTGTTGTCGGCGGTGGCAGTTGCTCCTAGCAGCAGCGAGGAACGAGATGATGATGGTGATGCCGCATTATGAAGTTGATGTGCCGGAGCGGCAGTTGCTGGTAAGCAGAAGCTGATGACCGCGACCGGAAAGTGACTTCCCAATAGGATGAAGAGCAAACCCTTCGCCCCTGCCTCCATCGTTCTCAACAAGCGCTTGGGGCAGGACGCAGGAGTAGGAGTGTGCAAGGATTGGCCGACGCCAAAACTCATGTTTTCGTTTGGCGGGACTGTTGACTTGGATGTTTGGGGAGGGGACGGACCCGCCCCCCCGAGTTTGCAGCTCTCTCTTGTTTGGGCCGCCAACCACCACGCCCACGCAACAAGCACCACAGCCAGCACGTAGCTGGCGATGACAAGACGCTACCGACTTTCGGGAGGCATTTGCCTACCATCCTCGGCAGTGATAGCCATGCTCTCGGTGATGGGCGGCCTGGGCCGCGCACGGGCTTTCCAGCTCACCTCCACCGCAGCGGCGACCTCAGCAGCAGCTCGACGTTGCAGCAGCGCCGGCCCGGCGTGGGTTGGCCATGGCGGGCGGATACCACGGTTGGCGGGGGTAAGCAGCCGTGCTGGGGCTGCGGGAACCACTGCAGGCAGCAGGGGACGAGGAAGAATCGGCCGGCTTGCAATGGTCAAGGTGAAAAAGAGAGGAAAATCAGTCTACATGTGAAGTCTGCTGTGATACAGGGCGGTAGGGCGCCCACAAGCCGGGTGTACTGCTGTAGTACCGGCATCAATGTAATACCGTGGACATTTTGGACGTTACATGGCCGCAGCCTACCTGCTTACTACGCAGTTGCATACGTCTCGTCGCGTGTTGCCGTGTAACCACAGGCGCAGGCATCCGCGGTAGGTGACACCAGATACCACCCCCCCCCTGGACCGAGATTCAAACTTGACTACGTATGTACTCCCCATCAGAAAGAGAGACAGTGCCGAAAATGACGGCGATGAAACCATCCCGTCGAGATCTTTCCGAAGACGCATCAATATGAGTTGACATCCTCTTCTTCTTGGAGTAGTGGAGCTCTGAAAATCGGTCCTGGGGGTGTGGTATCTTGTGTCACCTACGGTGCAACCTGTCGTTCATCCAGATCCAGCATTCTAAATCCGAATACTTGCCGCTACCAAAGGCCCCTTGCCGGCACAACAGGAGTTCGCTTCGGCACACCGCTGGACGGCGCTCTTGAGCCTATGTTATGCAACAGGACCGTTGTCATATGGGCAGGGAAACCCGAGCACCACTCTAATGTACATCTCAGTCCGAGTAGAACAGTATCGGGGAATTGCATCCATCTCCCGTAAGCCCACCTCCTGTTCGTGTGTCGAGGGATGGTCTTGGAAAATCCGAACCAGACATCGCTCTTGAGTGTAATGGCGGCACATGACGGTACAAGGGATAATAGTTTTTCACTCTGACCGGGCCGAGACCTGCCGGTTACCGCCCCAGCGACATGTGCAGAATAACCACGCAGCGACTATTGTGAAGACCAACTACGCCACCAAGCGCTAGCCTGTACTTTAGGACACGTAGATATACTTAGCCTAGCCCCGGAATTCATTGGCTACTGGCTACACAGGTCTCGCGGCGTGCACGTGCAGATGTCAGGAAGACGTGAGACGTGCCTCCTCGCCCACAACCTCCATTGCTGTACACCCTACCGCGACCCACGCCCCGACTTGGTACCCAAACCACGGAGCTCGCTTACCGCCCTGCCCTGCCCACCCCACCCCACTCCTCCCCCGTATCCACTCATTCGAAAATATCCCCCCCCCTACCCACCCGAATGATCTCCCAAAAACACCGCAAACAAAAAAACAAACCAAAACAGAGCATGGCTCGACCGGATAAAGCGGCTACGGCGCCGCTCTCCACTAACGCCGCCGCTAGTGACCCGAGAGGGGGGCCAGCGGCGGCCCAGGCCCCCTCGCGGGTGGACGGCGACTACGGCGCGGACCAGATCACGGTGCTGGAGGGCCTGGAGCCCGTGCGCAAGAGACCCGGCATGTACATCGGCTCCACGGGGCCCAAGGGGCTTCACCACCTGGTGTTCGAGGTGGTGGACAACGCCATCGACGAGGCCTTGGCGGGGTACTGCGACACGGTGAGCTAGCCCCCCCCCCCTCAAGGATGCAGCGCACCCTCCATGCGACTCCTCACGGGGCTTCGCGCTTGGTGATGTGCTGTGATGGCCTGGTCAGGTGAAAACCCGGCGTGCTCCGTCTCGGATGCGAGGTCAATATGGCTAAGCGACTACATACGGCATGCACAGCTACGAGTACACCTCCCTCCCCCTCCCTTGTCTCCGTTGTCATTTGCTGGAAGTGTGTTAACCTTAGGAGGGACAGGGTATTGGGGCGACGCAGAAGTTGCTACCGTGTTGCAGTCGTGGATCAGCGCACCCTGTTGTGTTTTGTATCCGTCGTCGCCGGGATAGCACTTTAGCATTTTCCCTAACCCTTAGGCGCGGCCAGTAGAGGGAGGGAGGTCGGGAGGCGACGCAGAACTAGTTATCGCATGACTCAGGGTCATGGCACGCTTGCTTGACTCAAGTACTCCGCAACCAGTACAGGCACACATTCCGAAGAGGATGGCTTTGGAAATATCTCGCCGAAAGCTGTGCAGGGCCCGTGTACGGGGTATGCGCTGACCCGTCGCAGTCTTATTGTATTGTGGTCGGCTTCGGGCGAGTGCAGGGAGTTCTGGACGCACGCCAACACACCTATGTTTTGTTTCGCCAGGGTGACAAACCTAGGATGTAGAACGAATTTTCAGCAGAGTGGTCCAGGCGACTCCGGACCGATGCCGCAGACTTCCTGGAAGGCCAAGTCAAAAGTCTTGTTCGTCGTTTTGCTTGCTTTTTTTTTTTTTCCAGGTGTACGTTACCCTGGAGGAAGACGGCAGCTGTACGGTCAGGGATAACGGCCGCGGCATTCCGTGCGACATCCACCCGCGCACGAAGAAGAGCGCCCTCGAGACCGTCTTGACCGTGCTCCATGCCGGCGGGAAGTTCGGCGGGGACGAGAGCGGTTACAAGGTGTCCGGGGGTCTGCACGGCGTCGGCGTTTCGGTGAGCGGGGGGGGGGGAAGGGGGGTGTACTCCTAGCCGTGCATGCCATCATGGGTCCCCCCATCTGGAAACCATGAAAGACCCCCACCCCCCCCCCCGCCGC